TTGCAACAGAGCAACATTGGAGGTGTTATTTGGCTAGTTATTTCCAACAGAGCAACATTGGAGGTGTTATTTGGCTAGTTATTTGCAACAGAGCAACATTGGAGGTGTTATTTGGCTAGTTATTTCCAACAGAGCAACACCGGAGATGTTATTTGGCTAGTTATTTCCAACAAAGCAACACTGGAGGTGTTGTTTGGCCAGTTATTTCCAACAAAGCAACACTGGAGGTGTTATGTGGCTAGTTATTTCCAACAGAGCAACGCTGGAGATAACGTTTGGCCAGTTCTTTCTGCAGGTTTTCCAAAGGAACAAAATATAAAAGCTTCTTAGCCTAAACAGGTTAGTATTGGTTTTCCATTACAGAAAACCAAATCTGATTCCCAGTAGGCCTATCTCACATAATCAAAATTTCTTAAAATTAAATTATGTATACAATAACCAAGTTATACCTTATCTTCACACAGCAATGGCAAATGCAGTAAAATCTCGAGAGGTTCAGCATCGGCAGCCATAACAATGATCTCTGCTAAGCCTCGATTTAATGTCTTGGTGGCTGAAAAATACGGACAGAGAAATACATGCGAGGTGTTTGAATAAAACTTGTGGAATTCAAAGCTAAAGATTTTTCTATTATGTATGATGTGACTATCACTCCTAATACACTATATACTCATGGCATTACACTACTCTCTAATGATAAAACGTAGCGTTGGGAACTTAAGAATGATCGCACCAGTGAATGAACTGTCTTACCCATTCTAAAAAATAATCTTCTTTGTGTAAAAGCCGTAACCTGTAATAAAATATACTTACATTAACCGAACTTACACGGATCAATCAAGCGGACCGACCTCATATTGGATAGACGATAATTCTGAATTTACTATGTGTATCTACACGAAATATTTCAAGCTTTTAGTAAAATGCACAATTGTATTTTATAAAAACATATCTTCCATGTCAGTTTGACTCAGATTCTTGACAAGTCAGAATATGACGTGAAGAATATAAATAATAACTTTGTCCACTGTAGTTTGCATAGCCTCGAGTCTGTGAAATGTATATCTACAGTTTTTTCACTATCTGTGTATTATATCTGGTAGTTAGCTAAATCAGCAACGTAGGGTAAAATGAATAGCTGATAACTCTGTAATAAATACATGTAAAAGGTCATGACATGAGCACTTTGGCCCCCACATGTGTGTATATATATATATATATATATATATATAAAGTTAATATTGTTATTTTGATTGCTCTTAAGTCTAAATGATTATTTAATTATATATATATATATAAATAAAAGAACCGTAAAATCTTTAGCACTAGTGATCCCTAGCCTATGTTTTACGTACACTGATTTTTTAAGGTATTAGCACTAGTGATCCCTAATTCATAGCCTATGTTTTACGTACATTAATTTTTTTAAGGTATTAGCACTAGTGATCCCTAATTCATAGCCTATGTTTTACGTACACTGATTTTTTAAGGTATTAGCACTAGTGATCCCTAATTCATAGCCTATGTTTTAAGTACATTAATTTTTTAAGGTATTAGCACTAGTGATCCCTAATTCATAGCCTATGTTTTAAGTACATTAATTTTTTAAGGTATTAGCACTAGTGATCCCTAATTCATAGCCTATGTTTTACGTACATTAATTTTTTTAAGGTATTAGCACTAGTGATCCCTAATTCCATAGCCCATGTTTTACGTACATTAATTTTTTAAGGTATTTAGTATCATTTGTTTTAGTCCTTCAAATGTCTTTTGGTGAATGAGAATCTGTAACTGTAGATGACGATTTGATATCTAAGCAGCGTTTAGAGAAACACTATGCTTTAAACCAGGGCTGTTCAACTTGAAACTAGTGTGGGGGGGTGGATTGCAACTTAGTAATCCACTTGTGGGGTGGGCCATTAATTAACAATTTAGAATCCTACTATTTCCTTGAATGCAACAACATTTATAACAACTAACGTGAATAATATACAGCTGCTGCTTTAAAATGTGAAATAAGTAATATTAGTATTCTAAAAATGTAAATCTTAACTAATGGATCCTTCCGATGGTCAGGAGCTGGATGAGGCCCACCAGTTTCACAACCCTGCTGTAAACTATAGAACAATGAGACAAATCCCTGAAATATACACACACACACACCATGGGTTTTCTTTCATAAGCCTTTTCTTGGGGGAAGGACTTTATTTGGTGACTGACTTATACACAGGACATTTGAATGCAGAAAGTTCAGTATGTTTATAAACATAAAGGGGTTGTGTTCCCCACAAATGTTTACAAGTATATCTACAAATGGAACAGTTTTTAAGGTATTTAGCTTTATTAAACCCAAAATTAACATCTAAACCAAAAAAAAAAATTTAATCCCAGTCACACACAGAGTTGCAAGCATAACCAATTAGACAACATAAAATATTTTGCTATTGCATAACAGCCATTAAAACTTTTCTATTAACAAACAAGTTATTTCAGAAATTGTTCATTATATTATCAGGTTTTTATTAGGTTCAATAAAGATTCCAGAAGTACAACCTATTACAGTATTTAGTTCTGAAGACTTTAGTTATAGAAGCCTTTAACATATCATTATGCAATTAAGTTTCCAACAAAGTTATCAAAATATGGTAACAAATATCATGTACAAACATCTGTACTATTTATTAACGACACTGTCATAAGAACCATATTCTTCTATGCTTTGTAATTAAGCCTTTTCTTTCAGTTTGTAATTAACAGATCAAAAAAATAAATCATTTAGGGACTAAAATAGGTCATAAGTACATGATAATGATATACATGAAATAAATATTCGTTAATGCTAACTAGTTGAGCTTTATGATAATACAGTGCTGAGGAAAAACACCAGATGTTAAAACATGTTTGTATAGGCTTAGCATTTTTTTTTAGCGATAATTACAAACACTTTCATCATGTAATGAAAGCTGTTAACTTTACCTTCATTAGCTCCCTTCTTCAGTTGTTTATAGTTTGATGCTTGCTGAACAATATTCAAAATCTTTGTCGTCAAAGTTGCATCAGCAAGAGGATAGGCCTTAGGATTTACTTCTTCAGACTTAAAAAAAAAGAACAACATTAAGTATATATAAACCTGGAGAAACAATCTAACTGCTGTACGATGTGCAATGATTTAAATCAACTTTAAATGTTAAAACACAGGGTAGATTTTTTTTTCAATAATAAAGTCTCCCCCCCCCCTCCAGATAAGAATTAGCTAAATAATTCTCATTCACAAACCATTTACAAGAGTTATATTTCTTAAAATCACAAAAAAAACTTCTTCCAAAGAGAAAAACAAGTACATACAAGAGAGTTTAATACTGGTGCTATTATTATGAATAGCATAATGAAACAGTTTTATCCTGTGGTGAATTTGCACTCAAATATGCATTTCTCAATCACGTCATGATTGTTTTGACTTTGAGATCAAAGGAAATGTGATATGTTAATTGGATAACTTTATCAAACAATAAAAAACCTGTGATATATAGAGGTAATCAATTAATCATCTGAGTCATCAACGGACTAAATTCAACTAATTGATTATTCTGACGAGATTCTAACAGTTTGAATAATCAGAAACACTAATTTTGATCGTTTGACTATTTTCATGAGTCACGACACTATCTATTAAGCCGAATAATGTAATCATAAATAATAACGAGAAACATTTTAATTTGTTATTTTCATGACATTATTCAATGTAATAAATGCTCAGAGGTGATGAACCGAATTAATCACCCGGCTCTATCTTACATAATAACAAAGATAAAGGATGCAATATTTCACTAGTAAAGTACAGGATGAGAGAAAAACCATTCTGTTCACTGATGTCACCCCCCATCCTAATATTTCACTAGTAAAGTACAGGATGAGAGAAAAACCATTCTGTTCACTGATGTCACCCCCCATCCTAATATTTCACTAGTAAAATACAGGATGAGAGAAAAACCATTCTGTTCACTGATGTCACCCCCCATCCTAAATATAAATGATCTCTTTCTATTTTTTTTTCTAATCCAACTCAAATATAGTCCTTTGCAATCATATCCTTAACCATGAAAATCTTTAAAATCCCTCAAGCTAACAGCACAACTCACACCATTAAGTTAACCATTCCACAAAGAATATTACTTGTAATAACAGTGAACAAAACAACAACACTAGACTGTAGTAACTGTAACAGAAAACCAATTCATTACTTCAATGAAGCCTCACTAGTTTTGTACATGGCTATATTAGCCTTCTTTTTTTTTTTTTATAATATAAAATCCTATAAAGAGAATCATTAAATCAATTTTCAATCCATTTCGTTTATTCTCCACCAATCTTATAAGATCCAGCTAATCAATATTTGGTAAAGTATCTTATCAAAGACTTTCTAGTAAAAGTTAAGGTATACAATACTAAAGGCCCTATTAAAATACTCGGAACAAGTTAGTAAGACAATAAAATCATTTTCTAAATGTGTTTTGACACCGTTAACTACAAGAAGATGTAGTTTTCCCAATTCCCCTAAGTACGTTTTTCAAAAATATGTCACTTTGGAATCTTTTAATCAGAAATTTTTTCAATGTCAAGAGACTTTTGAAAAATAATAGTTAACTCCTTCCACTAGCTCTTTGTTAATTTTTTTCAAGATAAATCTAGCCAGTTCCAAGACTTCATTCTCTGATAACCTTTAGTTTATGTTTAACTTAAAGACTGAAGTTTTGGACAAAAGCCATTCCCACAATATATTATAACTTAATTATAAGTAGAATTAAAAATAGGTTGCTTATGTTGGTAAGCAAATTTACATGTACACAATATCAATGACCATTTCGTTCAAATTATCAAATGGAAAATTTTTGCCTAAATTTAACGGTATTAATAAATCTCAACACACATATACAGAAAAAAAAACTACAAGAAAAATGTCAATACGTCATTCGCAATGCAACTTGCAAGGACTTGGAGAAGATAACAAAGCATTGTAATTTGTACGCTTAACACTGTTAAATAAGAAATTAACCTAGTAGTAGTAGTACTTGGTATAACGTAGGAATATGACTATAATAAAGAAATAATGAAAACGTCATACAAAGATCATGAGCACTGAATCAGAATAATTTACCATTAAAAATAAAATATGACAGCTATAGCGATTGTCGTTTGTGCATTGAAGGCCTAACAGAGGTTGTTAAGTCACGTTGTTAATGTTAACGATTGCTGCGCGTTACTGATAGGCTTAACAAAAAAACTTTTCTCGTTAATTAATTTTTTATCAAAATTTGGAAAATTAAAACAAACTTACCATTTTGAAAAAGGTTCTTTTCTTCACTTTGTAATATGATATTAAACTTCCTCTCAGCGAAATCTCGCTTCACTGAGGATAATAAAAGTTTCTTCAAAATTGAACACACGTGTTTATAACGAACGAGTGCACCAAATTACCCTAACGCCTTCTTCAAATACTAGTTCTACAGAAAATCGTTTGCGTTTAATTTGAAAAAAAAAATATGAAAATGTAGAGAAACATAAAAACTGCCTCAAATATAGTGCCCTGTTTTAGTCACTTGAATTAATTTATTTAATTGTTTCTATAAATTTCTGGAATAGAGAGAGAATAAACATACAAAGCGAAAATCATAACTAATTTATGCGCCTTCATTAAACGACAAATTTTAACAAAAGTGCAAATAATAACTATGTGTTAGAGCCATGTTTTTACATACAGGCATGGGAATGTAATACACGTTTGAATAAAAAATTAAACCTCGGCATATCAGCGGTAGGTTTACAGACTTAGAGTGCTAAAATCCGGGGTCCGATGCCTCACCATGGACACAGCGCAGATAGTTTATTAAGTAACTCTGCGCGAAAAGAAGCTAACCAAACCGAATAACTAAAAGTTTTTAATTTTGTTTATTATTTAAACATTTTAAAAGCTTTTTATTGTTAAGCAACATGCTGCCGTTGTTGTTTTAGTGCAAAGCTAAACAGTGGGCTATCTGTGTTCTGTCGGCCACGGAGAATCGACTCACGAATTTTAGAATTGTAAGTCCGCAAACTTACCGCTGATCCACTGAGATACTAAATCAATATGGTATCAAAAACATAGTAAACTATCAACGGTGTATTTTGAAGTTGAAATTAATCATTGTTAACGCTTTCTTATCGTCACGAATAATCCCCCTATCCCTTACATTTACTTTTTGGCATACTATATCTATGGCACAGAATACTGTAGATACACTTGTAAAAATATTAAATATACTATAATTAAAAAACAAAAACAATTACGACGAAGCTAAAATGATATAATAAAGTACTGAAAAAATCAAATTCTATTTGAACAAATCCATAAGGGTGTTTACCCGTCTTATTTGTTAATCAGTACCTCCAATCTGAATTCAAAAAATTTTCCTTTTTTTTTATCCTTCGTTGCTTTTACACATATTTGTGTAACTAGACAACTTTCAACCAGCCTTTTTACTTATTATTTATCTACCATCTCGTTTATTCGTCCATTTGTTTATTTCTTTATTTGATCGCGAAGCTTTCGCCTGTTTCTTTAGTCTATCTAATCGCGACAAAACATTTCATATTAGGAGTATTCTTTTTATCGATTTAGATTGAAATTAAACACAAGATATAATTTAATAACTGTATTTAATTCTCGAGTTAAACAATTGAATACCATAGTACGACCTAGTGAACTTTGCAGTACAGCTGATAATAACAACAATGGACAGAAAGTTTACTTATCCTATGAATAACGGAACAGAAGTCTATATAATTATGTCATCGGTTTATGACCTGTGCCATCCATGTAGTGTCACCTATATATTTTAACATGCTGTACTATAACTAAAAATAAATTCTATATTTGGAGACGGTATTATGTAACGGCTTGTCACGCATTGGTTATGTCACTGCATATATTTGTTAAACCTAAATCCCGAATGAAAACTGACAAAAGAAAAGGTGGAATTGATCCTCGAAGGATTTTACGGTGAGTGACGGATATTATTTTACTAATTAAATAAATAAGGGCTTTAGTTGATTTAAGATATTCCTTATCTTAAAATATTTAACATTTTGTGGCTTCTCCGTTTTTAAGTTCCGTAATATTTTACGAACTTTTTCGATTGTTTGAAAATTGTCTAATTAAAATGTCATCTGTATTGGAACGCAGATTGAATAATCCAACAATGGCATAAATTAACTAATGATCAAAAAAAAAAAATTGATAAACAACCTGTGGAACAGTAGATGTGGATTAGAAGTATTTCCGAATATTTTTCTCTGCACTTTGTTTGTGATCTATTATTTACCTTGCCTATGATGTGTACGTCTAAGTATTACTATTATTGGGGTTCTTTAATATTCTTACTAAAAATAATAAAGTATTTTATTCTACAAATCGTTATTACATATTTATTTAGTTTTTGTTTTATCACAAAGCTACATAATGAACAATCTGCATTGGGGAATCTAACCCGGGATTTTAGTGTTTTAGTCCGTAAACATACCGTTGACGCACCGCGAGACAGGTTTGTTTAGTTGTTGTTTTAGCGCATAACTACATAATGAGAGGACTGCGCTCTGTCTACGTGGTGAATCAAACCCCGGATTTTAACGTTCTTAATCTGTGCTTAGCGCTGACCCACCGTGGGTCAGATATGTTCAGATACGATTGTGTATTGTGAAAGTTTTAAAACGTATAAAATGGGTGTTTGTTGTCTTGTCAGACAAACCTCACATCCTCAAATACGTAGAAGTGATGTTTGTGTGTGTTAAACATTTTCAAACGTCAGTGCCCTCTATATGTTTATGTAACTGCAGTACAAGAGACGTTTCGATTGTCATTACACAGAAGATTTATTTTTGTTTGTGGAATTTCACACAAAGCTACTCGAGGGTTATCTGCACTATACGTCCCTAATTTTGAAGTGATAGTCTAGATGGAAGGCAGCTAGTCAACACTACCTACCGCCATCTCTTGGGATACTCTTTACCAATGAATAGCGTATTTTATCGTCATGTTATAACGCTCTCGTGACTGAAAGGGCGAGCATGTTCGGGGATGGGTTTCGATCCTGTGGTCACATATTACCAGAAGAGCGCCCTAGCAGCCAGGCTGTATAAAGCCTACACAGAAGGTGCATCCCAAATGTTTTAAAACTGAAGCTACAGAATGTATATTATATATAAATATAATAGTACTGTCTGTCCATGTAACTACTTCGCAGTGTGTCGATGGATGTTCACCAAAATTGATATAGATGTTCATTAGGTCCATGCGGGGATACATACAAATTTTCAGTTTTGCATTTCGCGGTTTTTATGGGCGTTTGTTTACTACTACTACTTTGCCCCCTGTTGATGGATCTTCACCAAATTTGGCATGAAGGTTTGTTGGGTCGATGGGGAGACACAGGTAAGTTAGTGGTTCCACGTTTTGTATTTTTTAAAATTACATATAAGGGAAGCATTTTTTTCATGTCTTTTCATTAATTATAAATTTACAAACTTCCGTCCAGGGGACGGGTACTCCAGCTAGTTTCCAACAGAACACTTAAATTGCTTAATATACAAGCCTATGAAGGTCCCGTGTGCATTTCATATGAAAATTAGGCAATATGGTTTACTATTCCCATGTAACAGATATATATATGAAAATACATGATGCTATTTATTTTTCAACTCTAGGACATCCAATATGGCCGCCAAAATGGTCGTTTGTTTAAAAACACTATTTTTCAGTTGGTTACCTATATCTTTATTACATCGGCTAGAAAGCTGATATAAGCGCCCAAAATATATATTTTAAATATCAAAAATTTCCAAGGTGCGGGTTTGGATTTCTTAAACTGAATGCCGTAGGTGGAATCACAAGATGGCTGACAATTTTTGATGTAAAAAGAAAGTGAAGAAAAGTTGCATCACGAATCTTTGCACATACACCTTAGAAAAAGATCGTTTCTAACTTCTTTAAAGTTTAAAACAAAACAGTATAATGACGTTTTAGTTTTCTTTTTAAACATTCAAGGTATTAAGAACTGTAAAATGGCTGCCAGTGTTTTGCAGTAGTGTGAAAATTGCGCGTAGTAGAAAGAGTTTAGTCATGTTTGCTGGCCGGCATGAATAAATGACAAACTACGTATGGGATCCTTGTATATCCGGATAACAATTTTATAGAATCATTAGGCTTGATAAATCACACCTAGTATATGACAGATATGATACTGAAGAGCCTCTGAAAGCTGCCATGAGGCAAAGGTTTTGTGCAAATCTCAAGCTTGTGTCCTATCTTATCAGTAACTAAATGTCGATTATCAAAGCAGCTCCTCAGTAGCATGTCGACAAAAAACTCACTGTATACTTAACTCAGGTGGCCTGGTAGTAAGGGCACTCGAGTCGAGGGGTTGAAACCCATCACCGAACATGCTCGCCCTTTCAGCAATGGGAGCGCTATAACGTGAGAGTCAGTCACAGTATTCGTAAGTAATAAGCGACCCAAGGGTTTGCGGAGGGTAGCGTTTACTAGTTGTCTTCCTTCTAGCCTATTACATCCAAATTATGAACGGTTAGCGCAGATAACCCTCGAGTAACTTTGGGCGAAATTCAACAAACAGACAAAATTCAGAAATACTTATTTCACTTTCAGACAAGCATCAAGACATTCATAGTAACCTCAAGGCAGAAAGTATTCTTCAACAAGTTACATGTAAGCCGCCTGGTGAGGTCTCATCAGGAAGCAGACTCCAGGATCGTACTACACGCACTAGAAGCCAAAACTGAGGGAGCACCTGGTGTCCTAGACTTGGCTTTGAGGCACTTTCCCCAGCCCTGTAAATCTCCTTACTCATCTTTAGAACAGGAAGAAAGAGTGGGTACTCTCACCAATTTAACAACTCTGTAGAATGTAAAATCATACCTACCAACGGAGTATAGACGTCGGCTTTAAATGTCCATTTCTGAACAGCTTGATCTAAAAAACATATTCTTAGACTTTTAGGCCATTACAGTATTGTGACGAAAGTAGACTGTTTTGTTTTTGTGTTTTGAATTTCGAGCAAGCCTTGCGTAGAAGCAGAAATGGTGATATTTTTATATTTTTCCAAGTTTTGGCAGCCACATTGAATTTGTCCTATATAAATGAAAGATTAGAAGTGGCAACGCGAATTTTTTTATTAAACGGCTAAAGAGGAATAACAGCAGTAAAGACGACCATTTTTGGACCATCTCCTCATCTCAACCGACACCACTGACGTCACAGTGGCGTTGCTGGTTTGTTTTTATATCAGAAAGAGATCGTGTTTTGTCACCAGATTGAATTGCTCTTTTGTATGTTTTAAATGTCATTTGTGATGGATAACATATTTACCAAGTTTTTATCTCTCAGTAGGTGTAGTTATCATTGTTCAGATTGTGGTCTTATCATTTTACTTTTTTTATTTTATTTACCAAACAAAGTTCCAAGTCTGTAATGGAACTGAAGGTCCTGTCTATATATGTCACTTATATTATAGGAACACATATTACGTCAAGAGATTCGCTCACGATCTCTGGACCTCGTTTTTCGCAGACTCTCTTTCTAGCGCTATTACAATGTCTTCTCCATGGATAACATTTTTATAGCAACACATGTTGACCGGATAAAGGTTTCTGGTACTCTGCATCACCCTTGCTTTATGTAGTGTTTTACCATCACAGAACCAAGATCGTACGAATGTAGATAAAACTACTGGACGGACTTTAGAAGGAGAGGGGGTGAAGGTGAAACAAGTATAGGGGGAGTAAGAAAACTACAGCTGTTTTGATTGCTATTTGTTCTGTGCCTACCGAGGGTGTCGAACTCCGATTTTTAGCGTAACAATTCCCCTAAACTTACCGCTGAGCCACCAGGAATCAAACTGATAGCTGTTGCTGTTCTTAATTATGTTTGTATTTCTGATACTGAAAGAGTCGTATTGTAGGTTGGTTGGTTATGAAATTCCGATTAACTTGACGAACCGTATCAGCGCGTGACTGTACGACATTATCCTCTTGCTATATCGATAGTTAGTGATTCAACAGTACAATGGAATTATTCAAATTAAAACAAATGTATGCGGAAAGAGTTTCAAACTGTCAACATTTAATGAACGTTTGACCTTTGAAAGCGCCACGAGCGTTTACGTGGAAGGCTATACGTTGTCCGTTTCAAACTCTTTTTTTATATATCTTGCGTTATCGTATTTACACAACAGACATCACATACTGTTCTACATATTCACGTACCAGGCTCTTTACATCCTCGTGAAACAAGCCCATTAGAACGGATACGAAACTCGCATTGTTGTTTAACACAACACAGAAGATAATGGTTTAGACATGGACTGTTTTTATAGACAAGTATTACAGGTATGGTCAGGATTGTCCTTAAAGAAACATGGTTACATATGTGGTTAGGACTGTTTTTAAAAACAAGTAGTTACAGACATGACCAGGACTGTCCTTAAAGATAAGTATTACAGTCATGGTGAGGAATGTCCTTAAAGACGCGTAGTTATAGACATGGTTAGATCTATTTTTAAAGACAAGTAGTAATAGACATGGTCAGGACTGTCCTTAAAGATGAGTATTACAGTCATAGTGAGGAATGTCCTTAAAGAAACATGGTTACATATGTGGTTAGGACTGTTTTTAAAAACAAGTAGTTACAGACATGACCAGGACTGTCCTTAAAGATAAGTATTACAGTCATGGTGAGGAATGTCCTTAAAGACGCGTAGTTATAGACTTGGTTAGATCTATTTTTAAAGACAAGTAGTTACAGATATGGTCAGGACTGTCCTTAAAGATAAGTATTACAGTCATGGTGAGGAATGTCCTTAAAGACGCGTAGTTATAGACGTGGTTAGATCTATTTTTAAAGACAAGTAGTTATAGATATGGTCAGGACTGTCCTTAAAGATACGTAGTTACAGACGTGATCAAGACTGTCCTTAAAGACAAGTAGTTACA